AAGAAATTGTAATTCTTTTACAAGCGATACATTTGTAAGCAGTGTCTCATTACTTTTAGCACACCAAAGACAGTTGAGTTTGATTTAGTTTGAGTCCAGGAGAAAAGGTTGTGCAAGTTACTACCCCACCCAGAACAATGGACTACAGAGCTTGGCCACAGCAACAGGGGCCTTTGCATAGGGCCTCAGAAGCCAGTTCCTTAAGATGTTTTCTCTTTATTCACTACTGTGCAGTTGCTGCTCTTTGCTTGCATTGAGCCATGTTGTTATGATACTTTGATGAACATTTTCTGTCTGTCCTGCTTATTGCTGTAGGACTTCTTCCTGCTGCCTAGAGTGGAGAAGAGTACTAGTTTTAACCAGTTCCTGTGGTGTGTATGTGACAGAGTCAATGCAGTTAGCTGTCCTAGAAAGAACTTTGAGGGATGGGGCTTGTGGCTCAGTGGAAGGATTCTTGCTGTGCACGCATGAGGCTCTGTGTTCAGTCCCTGGCACCGCAAAAGCTTTTGAGATTTTTCTTTCCCTAGAAAGAACTGAGTGGTTGTTCTTTAGAGAAATGCTGTCTTTAACGGGTCAAGTTTTTTGGTGCTTTCTGGTGTACCACACACTTGATCATATTCACTTGGTGTTGGCAGTGTCCCACCTGGACTCCTGTAACTGGTGATCATCCCAGTTGTGGCGTAATGAAGGACAGGCCTGTCCACTCTGTCACCTCTTTAATATCGCTCTCAGAAATCCTTGATTTTATCTTTGCATCTGCTTTCCTGGGGTGTAGCATTGCTTCATCATTTAAGCTTAATAATTAAGTCTAGGAATATGTGACATCACTTTTAGCATTTGTTTAGTCCCCGTTATATTTTTATGATTGTTACATAGTAGTTATGCATAGTGTTTTAGTATTATTCTAAAAAAAGTTAGCTTTTCCGTTAATTTTCTTTAGATCTTAATAAATTATTCTTGACTAAATATTGAGGTGCTGTCTCACTAAGTTGCCCAAGCTGTCTTTGAACTCAGTCTGTGGCCCAGGCAACTCTTGAATTTCTAGTACTCCTACCTCAACCTCCTGAGTAGCTGGGGTTACAGTGCTACACTAACCACGGCTGGCTAACATCACAGATTTTGAAAGAGTAATTTGTAAATTGAGCTCCATGCTAACCATATCTATTCTCTAGAATCTATTCTAAGGATTATGATATGTATCCTCATCTTACCAGATTCCTACTTGTTTTAATATGACACTATTTCATATAACATATCAGAAATTTATGATCAATCTGCTCCCTCCTCTCCCTCCCCTTTGTGATAAATGCTTGTGTACCTTACCTCTGCATGAATTATAAACATGCCATCTATCAATTATTTTTTCTCTGCTTTAAACAATTGCCTTTTAAGTCCATTAAGAAACATTGATATGTATGTTTTCTCACATATTTCTTACATTTAACAGAGTTTTTCTTTTATTTCTATCTAAATTTCACCTAAGATAGAAGCAGCATGACCCTTTATTGAGTTCTCATGGGAAGTTCTGGACCATGTGTGCCAAGTTCATGTGTCATGAGTGCCTTACAGTGCATGTCAGATTTCCTCTGTCGTTTCATTTTCTTTTTTCTTCTTTTTTTTAAAAATTAATTAATTAATTTATTTTTACACCCACTTTCTAGATAGCACCCTCCCATAGCCTCCCTCCCCCTACTAGAGCCCTTATACTCTGATATCCCTGCTACTGTCTGCTGTGTTGTCAGCACCCCTAGCCATTCCCCACTGCTTGCCCTTCTCATGAATCTAGTTAGCCTATCTAGAGGTCTTTGTTTTAGGAAGGTCAGCTGTTCCTCATCTAGCAGTAATCAGTTATCAATAATCCTTTGGATAAGATTGGAGTCTGCTGTTCATTTTCTGAGTTCTATGCTGGGTTACTATCTGGGATGCCTTTGGCCACCCTGGCCAACAACTCAAAAGAAGGTATCGCCTGTCTGGCATTGTTGCTTGTTATGTAGCCTTTACCTATACATATGGACTCTTAAAAAATTATATTGGCCCCTTTAATCTTTGGTTATACTTTCCTTTTGGGTGTTTAAGGCCATACAGTTGGTCCAGATAAACCGATTTATTTTTACTCCTAAGGTCGTTTGAGGGTCTGTTCCTCAGGGGTCACATGGGCTTGGGAGGAGCCCCTGGCTCCTTTCTTTTACCAGTTCTGTGTATGTGAAGATAAGTCAAAGGTCCTCCTCGACCATGGTTGGCTTCGCTTGGAAGCATGGAGGAAATGATTCCTCTGTGTTGATCCTCCTCTTTATAGACTGGACACTGGTTCAAGTCCATCTGGTGGGGTCTCCTCGGCCTCTTTGATCAAGAGGATAGGTGACCTACCACCTTTATAGGACAGTTTGAGAGATGCTTATAGTCCCCTGGAACTAGTCTACTTAGGAGGGCAAGGAGCAAAAAGTGTCCTTTATGTCCCTCTAACCAAATTATTATAGGCCTCAAAATATGTCTGTTAAACACCCAAGAAGGTTAGTTCCACCAGTCTGGTACTTTTAATTACTGCGTGTCGTATAGATAAATCTTGGGCAAAGACCAGTTGTTCTCGGATAAACCTTACCTAGACATATATTTCTTGATCTGGTATGTATAATTTGTCAGTAGGTTGTTGGAGTAATATGGTTCTCTCTGGTTTTCAAAACTAGCTAGGCATTATTTACTTCTTGCTTGTCTCACCCCTCCATCATGGTTTTCCCACTTAAGGTGCCCCCATTTCCCCCCTTTTTCCCTTCCTAATACCCTTCTCCTACGGTCCTACCTCTCTTGAGCTCCTTCTTTCCTTTTATCCCCTAGGTTCCTTTTATACCCTTCCCTCCCCCTCCCTTAACTAACCCCATTTTTATCTATATCTCCCTTATTAAGGCCTGTTTCCTACTGTTCTTCTCTTTCAGGTTCTTTTCCTTTACCTCATTTTCATTTTTAAATACTCCAGTATTTCTTCCATAGTGCCATAAAGCAAGTGCTGTATGTATCTTAAATATATAAGAATGGATGAAATTCTGTCCCTTTATCTGAACAACTCAAAATGGCATTCGTGTAAGCTGACAGGCTGGGCTGGGCCGCTGCACCTCACCACAGCTGCCTGCTGCACTGACCAGTGAATTCCTCGCCATCCGGCTGCTCACGACTGATTCTTCTACACAAGCACACGGACACTGGGATTTCTACGTATTCTAAAACGGACACATTCATAAATTGTTGTTGTAGTTTCTGTTGTCATTGCGATACAAGTCTAAGTTTATTCAGAACCAACTGAAATCCTTTTGTTTAAAACTTGAACACGGGAGGGTGTGGGTGTGGTATGTTGTATGTGAATGCACAGAACTCGGAGAATGATCCGCTCTATTACTGTGCCTTATTCCTTTGAGACAGATTCTTGCTGCATCTGGAGCTAGGCCTGGAGCCAGCAAGCCCCAGTGATCTCCTTGTTGTGCCCTCCCCATGCTAGCGATAAGGTGCACATAGCACACCTGGGATTTGAACTCAGGTCCTCATGGTTATGCAGCAAGCATTCTAGCCCACTGAGCCATCTCCCCAGCCTGGCACTGTTTAATTGCTCCCTCGGAGCCCCAGATACTGGAGCTACCAGAAGTGACAGTGGGAAAGGAAGGCCATTCAGAAGGACCTTCAGCCCTTCTCACAGTGCACTCTGTGCAGTGTAGTGCTGAAAACCACTTTATTTCAGGGGCCTAACTGAGCCCAGACTCCCCAGAACTGAGTCTGCTTAAGATCAGCTTTCGTGGCAGGCTGCAGGGCTCATTCGGGTTCATCAGGAAAGGAGTGGGTTGAGTGGGCTGTGGAAAGCCATGGAGAGGAAGAGAAGAATGAGCAGAGCAAGTGTCTAGTGACTCCCCTGGCCAGGCCCAGAGCAGCGAAGTGCTGAGTTCCCACTTGCTGTCTTCACTTAAAGGGAACACAGTGAGGCCAAGGAAGTGCCAGTGTTTGGCTTCCTGCTTACCTTACACTTGAGGGTCTGGATTTAAACTGGGTGTGGCACATTGTGATATGCAGATTGTATGTTTCATTGGGTCCCTGAGGCTGCACTTTACCATGAAGTTTGGCCTCCTCTAATACCATCGCCCAGCAGACTGGAGCAGTAATCCATTTTTTTCTTTCTTGCCAAGATGGGACTGGAAAGGTATCTGGAGTTGTGATGGCACCCACCCAGAATACTAAAACTTGAACGAAATAATAGTGTTGCTTCCTAATCATGTAGTTAATATCCCTGAGATGAACATCTAATCAGACAGCTTGATCATTCCTGGTGATTTGCAGTCTTCTGGTACCCTAGCTTCTAGCCTTTCATGTTTTACCTCAAACACAGCTTGCATTCTTTTTTCATGGTTTGTTTGTTTATTGAGGCAGGGTCTTGCTCTGCAGTCCTGGCTGGCCTGGAACTCACTGTGTATACCAGGTTGGCCTTAGACTTGTCATGATCCTCCTGACTGTGCCTCCAGGTATGCACACCACATCCCATTACCACATATGACTAATGGTTGTTTTTTTAAATGTTGTTTTCATATGTGTATAACATTGGAATTCCTAAAGCCATGACTACAAAAAACTGAAATAGCAAACAATTAGGACATGCAGATTCTACTTTGTATTGCTCAAATTTCTAAGTATACTACCTAAAACTGGCATTTTATATTGTAGTATTTCTGTGCTTTAGAATAAGCACTAAGTATCTTTAGTTTTTGAGATACTGGTTTAGGGCAGCCTCTTTAGAAATACCTCTTTCAGTTTTTCAGATTTTAGAATGTCATTTTTTAAAGAAATAACAGAATGATTGTTTCTATGAAATAAAACTGTGACATGAGTGGTAGAAAATGAAGGGCAGCCATACTCCATCTCACCTTAGTGTGATACGAGTCAGAGGTGCTGAGGCTGTTGTTCCCTTGTGTTGGTAATTCCTTCTGTAATCCGTGTTTTCTGCCTTATGTTTTTGTATATTACTACAGCTAAAGAAGTAAACAGGTCATGGCACGTTTAACAAAAAGACGACAGGCGGATACAAAAGCTATCCAGCATCTTTGGGCAGCCATTGAAATTATAAGGAACCAGAAGCAAATTGCCAACATTGACCGTATTACAAAGTAAGTAAATTTAAACAAAAACACCCCTGTAAGACTTCATATGAGACTTTGGAGGGACAGTGCAAAAACGCCTTCTCTCCTGTGCTCCTCATCTGCTGCAGAGGACCAAAGCTGTTTTTAGTCTCGTATAACACGTGTTAGAAAAATAACAGAAACAGACACAAATATCTTGTATTTAGAAGTCTTATAAGTAAATATTAGACCAATAAAAGATCAATATGTTCTATTTATAATAGTTTTTCAATTATAAGTTTTTGACTCTTGTATTTAAAAGGCTTGTAGTTGTTTGTTCTATTGTTATGAAGCTGTCTAACACTGTTGTTCAGGACTTCAGTGTGGGATGGACATGCTGTGCGTTTTAAATGCTTTGTAGCCCCACTAGCAGAACTTTAACAAAGGCTTTCAATATTTTAGAAAACATTAAGTGGACATTCAGTTTTAAAAGGTGAAATTCTTTTTTCTTCTTAGTTGCTAATTATCTTGCTAGACAAAGATTCAGAATAGAAAAGGCCTCAAACCACCTTTTTTTTTTTTTTTTTTAACCTATTTTGCACTAACTATGAGGGAGTCTTCAATTAGGCATTTGATTTTGTTACATTTATTCCTTTGGGTGTTCTTAGAAGAATAAAATTAAAGTGCAGTTTCAAAAATGCTTGCATGACTTTTCTGTTAATTCAATAGATCTCTTGTTTCTCCTGCTCACTGTTAGGTGCTGTCTGTGAAAGTGGAAAACAGATTTTACTAGAGCCAACCTACATAAGTGCTTTTTTGCCCTTTATTAATAAGTGACACAGTTGAGCTCCGTGTATTTTTCTACCTTGTGCCCCCATATTTGAAGAAGATGAAGGTCACTTACAACGGAAGGTCAGTAGATAGAGATGAGGTGATATGCTGCTCTTGTGGGAGCCATGCCAGCTCCTGCCTCCTGTGGGCTGGTAGGGAAGGAAAGCCGTGCTCAACACTACGTAGAAGACAAGAATAAAATAGTCCATGACTAATGATTACCTTTTAGTAAAGCAGACACTTTGAGGCATGGTAACTAAGTGCAGAGCAGGGAGATGATGTACTAACACAGATAGAGTGTGGTAAAGCACTTGCCTACCACAGGTGAGGCTTTGGGTTTGGTCCCTTCACTGAGGAAAAAAAGACCTCAAAGAATAAAACGCAGTGTTTCTCTTGAGACTTGTAAAAGCCATAGTCTGTGTATGTCAAGAGTGTTAATGGAAGGATGCCGAAATCAGAAAATAAGGTGCTGGGTTTGGAGTCATTGTATGAACTCAAAAGCATGTTAAGTTTGAACTAGTTCAGTCTCTCAGACTGTTTCTTCTTTCTCATCTCTGGGGTTGTCCCTGAGAAGCATAGGGCGTCCTCTAACAACCTCTAGGACACGCAGAATCAGTGTTACTGCTAGGTTGGACTGCCTGCTGATATGCGGAAGAGGGTTGACTCTTGCAGTCATGGTGCATGGCTCTGGGCTACTCCTAACACCTGTGTGCACATACATGTCTGTGGGCTACTCCTAACACCTGTGTGTGCATACATGTGTGACTGTATGCATCTTCTCATTTTGCCAGAACAGGGTGTCAAATCCCCTGGAACTGTGACAGATGGTTGTTGGCTACCACGTGAGTACTGGGAACTAAAGCCGCATTGTCCGCAAGAGTGGCCAGTGTTTTTAACTGCTGAGCCTTCTCTCCAGCCCCAGTGTTATGGTCTTTGAGGTTACTGGCTTGTGGCCAAACACATCTTTAGCTATCAAGTCTAATTTTATGTAATGGTTTGGTTCTGCTAGTTTTTAAAATTTTTATTCTAATCTATAAGTTGCTCATCTGTCTTTTTTGTGGTTATTTTCCTTTGGGACTTTTATTGCAGAAACTGTCATTTGCTCTATAGCCTCCTGTGGTCTGGTCTTGCTGATTGCATGCCTGTGATCTAGTACCTCCAGTTTGACCTGCTGGCTCAGTCCTCTGAATTTCATGGAAATTGATAGTTAGATTTGGAGACTATGCTGTGCTCCTGTCTGAAGTCATGTGTTCACTGGTTCACATTTTGTGATATTTGTAATCATTTGTGCTACATCTGGGAATTTATTAGTGTTTGAACAATGGTAGTAGTTTTCACCACTTTTTAGAAAATAAGACACTCTACTGATAGCCAGTTGACTTTCTAAATGTCACTTGGAATACATGCACTTAAACACACTTGACATACTTCAGCCATACGTGTATGTTCTGTGTACACACGTGTGCACAGCATTGTTGTTAACAGTGGCTTCTAGTAGTCTGTTGGGTTCTGTTTTCCTGTCTTACGTTTCTTATGGCTTGTTCTTTTCCTTCTCTACAATTTCTGCTTACCTGTGACTGTGTCTGCCACGTTGTTCTTCTGCTCTCCTGTGCCTTCTGGTTAGATGTCACTTCTGAGTGGCTGGTTGGTTGGTTGGTTGGTTGGTTTGGTTTGGTTTTTGTTGTCTGCTTGTTCATTTTGTTTTGTTTTACGGTGCTGGGCATTGAACCTAGACTTCATTTCTGAAGTGCTTTTCTTTGTTTACTTTAAATATTCACCTCATTTCTGAGCGTTTTCTACTTCTGAATTACAGTTTTTGGTTTTTGTAACTTGTCTTCCTGTCTTGCCTCACATTTGAAATAGTAGATTATGGTTTTCCTGTTACATGCTCTATGTCTTCAGCCACAGTCCTTCTCCCTTGATCGTTTTTTCTTGAATTGTATTAACTTTATGACTTTAAGATTGCTTTTTGTGCTGTTTTCATAATTGGCCGAAATATGGCCTCATGTTTCCTCTGGTTTACTGCCCCCTCCCTTCCATGCCAAGCTGCCTTGTCATTCTGAAGGTCTTTTTACCTGACTTGGTTAACATTGGTGCTTTTATTCCTGGCATTTCACCAAATAATGGGGCTTTGTCCTAAAAGAGAGCATTGTCTTGGAAGGGAACTTTGGCTGCTTACTTTGGGCCTCTGTAGGGTGCACTGTTGTTTGTGAGAGTGTAAGAAACCTGTCCAGTTGCCTCTGTGCTTCTCAGAATGGCCTGGACTTTGTGGAGAGTAGTCCTTATATCTTGGAGACACACTACTGGACAGCTCCTCCCCACAGCTGGCAGCATCAGTGGGCCTGATGGGGCCTTGTCCTCACCTGGACCTTGGGGATTTATATGTCTCCTTGCTGGTTTCTTTTTTAAATACATTGTCCAGCAATGTTTTGTGTACCTTCAATATTTTTAAACTATGTTATCTTCATCATCACTCCAGTTTACAACAGTCTCGTGATTTTTTTTCTTATAATAAGAAAGTAATGTTGCTAAAGACAATAAATATTCTCTAAGGTGCCAAAGCAGAGGTAAAAACAATAATGATAGTTTTAAAAAAATCCCTTCTAACAGAGGCAAATCTTTCTTCATATGTATGTAGCAAATCATAATAGTAATATTCTTCAAATAAAGGATCTTTAATGTAATAAAATTTGCTTTGCATTTCTCAAAGGGAATTAAGTAGGTAGAACTTACTGAGTGTAAGTCCAGATTCTCACATTTAATTGGACTGTGAATTTAGTAATATGGGATAATTTATCTGTATTCTAAACATTTGTTCCACTCATTTTTTCTCAGTACTAGGAATTGAACCCAGGGCCTTGGGATTGAACCCAGGGCCTTGGGCATGCTAGGAAATATTCTCACTCAGCTACACTGTGTGATTCAGGCTGGCCTTGGACTTCCTATGTAGCTTGGCGGGCCTAGAACATAGTCCTCCATGCTGCGCTGTTCTGATGGTGTGTGGCTTCCTTGCTCATGGCGTTGTTCTGCAGTCAGCATTCCAAGTCCTTTTTTATCACCTTCTAACTTTCACTTCTTTAACTGCTAGTGTTGTATCATAGAAAGTAGTAGAAAAGGTATTGCGAATTAGGGAATCGATGATGAAATTTAGTGAATGTTTCAAATAGATCAGTAAAGATTAAGAAAAACTTATCAAGTTTGTTTATTTTGATTTGGGAAAGTATTTTTACCAAAATAGTCAAAGCAAAAATCAGAATATATTTGTGAGTCTGTTTGATTTGTGCATTTTTAGATGGATGGTAAGGCTGTCCCTCTGATTTAAAACTGCTGGTTGTAAATTGATTTGACACTGTAAACTACAGATGTTCTTGTTTGGGGACTATGGAAGCACAAGTTAATTTTTAAAAAAATGAAATTGGAGTTAAAGGTGTTTTTTTTTTAAATATTTTATTTATTTTTATTTTATGTATATGAGTGTATTGCCTGGATGTATGTGAGTGCACCCGTGTCATGCAGTGCTGCGGAGGTCAGAAGAGGGCTTCGTATTCCCCTGGAACTGGAGTTAAGGATGGTCCGTAGCTACCATGTGGGTGCTGGGAATCAAACCTGTGTTCTCTGCAAGAGCAGTCAGTGCTCTTAACCTGCTGAGCCAAATCTCTAGCCCCAGAGTTAAAGGTTTTAAAATGTGGTGTGGTTCAGGCCTATAATCTACCATCTGTGAAGCAAGCTTGAGGTCAGCCTGGGTTAAAAAGAAAAGGTTATGTAGATTTAAGCAGGAGCATTAAGGGAGGAGAGAGGCACTTAGGAAAAGGACTGTATATACACTGCCTAGGAAATGGCTGTAGACTTCTCAAGAGAGGGTCTCAAGAGAAAATCCCAAGTATATTTTGACCTGTCAGTAAAAGCATTATCATAAAATTGATACAAATCATCATTTTAGCATAAAGAAGATTAGTTAACTTAGGGGCAGTCTGTAGCATCTCTTCCCTTATAGCATCTATTAGTGTAAAGCGGCAGTCTGCACATGTGCACTTACCATTTCTGCATAGCTTGGATAAGTGTTATTAGGACAAAACTTGAAAATACCTGGCTTCTTAACATTTAGGCAAATGTTTATAAAATATTTGGATGTCTTTAGCCCACATATTTTAGAGCTAAATCAAGACATAAAGGATGAAGAATCCTTTTTAGGAAGGATGTGAAACTTACTCTTTAAA